GGAGAGCCTGCGACCCACCCGCGACCTAAACCACGTTCACTGAACAAACCAATGCTGGGAGGACGATGATGGAGGCCGATGAGGGGGAGGACGACAATGGGAGGACGATGATGAAAGGACGAGGGGGGGAGAGGGAGGACGAGGAAGAAGAGGAGGAGGAGGAGGAGGACGAGGTGGAGGAGGAGGATGACGATAACGATGAGGACGAGGACGAGGAGGAGGAGGAGGAGGAGGAGGAGGAGAGCGCCATCGACAGGGAAGGTGGGGGCCACGAGGTCCGCCGGCTCGACGACGCCCGCGTCGCCCGCGCCCGCCCCCTCACTCTTATCCGCACTTGCGGGGTGCTACGTAGAGAAGGAGCCAGAGAGAGAGATAGAGAGAGAGAGAGAGTGAGAAAGAAAGAGCGGCCCGCGGCCTCCTCAACCTCCCGCCTCCTCCTCCTCCACCTCCCTGCTCCTCCCTGCTCCCTCGAACTCCTCCTCCCTCCTCGTCACTTCTCCTCCTCCCTTGCTCCTCTCCCTTCTCCTCTCTCCTCCTGCCTTCTCTTACTCCCTCCCTCCTCCGTCCTCTCCGTTTTTTTCTCCTCGCCTGCTCTACCGCATCCAAGATACCGCATTTCTTTTCGCCGGGCCGAGTTGTAAGATTCCCGCCCCCGTCTCCCCCTCGCCGTCCGCGCGTAGCGCGCTTCTGCGCTGGGGCTCGCCACATTGGGGCGCTGCTGCGTTGCGTGTGGTTCTCTTCGTCAAAGGGGAGCCAGAACGAGGGAGAGAAGGAGAATGAGACAGAGATCGGTGCACCAGAACCCGACACCAACACCAAGATCCCATCTGGAGAAGAGAAAGTCAGAGCATCTGGTGAATGCCGTCGCCCATGTCTTCGGGCCCACGCGTCCCGCGTCGATGAATGCCAGTTCTGCGCGCGTGGGAGCAGCGCGGGCCTTCTCCAGTGAACTTTACGATGTCCATGGGCCGCGCGAGGCCCGTGGGCCGCGCGAACCTCGCCAGCCCCATGAACCCCCCGAGTCCCAGAAAGGTTTCTTAGGCCACATGGGCGCCGCAATGCGCATGGGACCAATGCGCCGCGCGAGCCCGGCGAGCCGCGCGAGCCCCATGGGCCCCCCGAGACTTCAGGGCCGGGTGGGGTCTCTAAGCCTTGCGAGCCCCATGGCCTGTGAATGCGAAGAGCAGCGCGAGCCACCCCAGGTTTTCAGGGCTCCGCTGGGCCGCTCTGCCCCCGCACGGAAAGGGCCCCGAACTGTTCCCCTGCCGGCCACTCGTCCCTGGGAACACCGGACCGCCGGCACCAGCTCCAAGGTCCCCCCTGGAACGGCGGCCCCACGGGGGGCGGAGCCCCTCGACGACTTCGGAAGTTGGCCAGGATCTGCCTGGCGGGTTTGAGAGGGCCCCACGCTCTCGGGCCCCGGCCGCGCAGGGCGGCCACGGCCCCTGGCGCGGGGAAGCGGCGGTGGATGCGGAGGAGACGTCGGGTGCTGGCCTCGGGCTCGCAGAGGGTCAGGGATGCGACAGGGGCGGGCAGGGGGCAGGTGGGAGGAGGGGGAGGGGTGAGGGAGGGCGGCGGTGAAGTGAGGGAGGCTTCGGTCATGGAGGATGCCGCAGTCTTCCTTCCCCTCCCCCTTCTCCGGAGAACGCCCGCCAGCTTCGCCTCTCGCCTGCGATTGTTGCTCCCTGTCCTCATGCGTGCTGCGCGATGTCTCCCTTTCCCCCCCTCCCCGCACCCCTGCGATTCCGCAAGCCAGGACGGGCTCCCGCTGGCCCGAAACGGAAGTCCAAGCCTTATGAAAGTGATACTTGTTTTGGTGTTGGCGCCAGCCTTCTGTCTTCACAGAAAAGAGAGAAGTAATCAACTATAGACAGGGAAATGCATTTGCACACATCTGCACATATGCATACATAGATGTATATGCACGTAGGCATAGCATACATACATAGAAAGATACTTCGAGAAATATGTCACCACATGTTCATACTAGTATTGCATTGTTGTGCGATGGGGAGGGTAAGAGAGAAAGAGAGAGAGAGAGAACACCATACATAAAACAACATATAAATGGAGAGATATGGGGGGAGAGAGAGAGAGAGAGAAATACAGCAAGCCAACGATACATAGAGAGAGAGAGAGAGAAAGTGTGATAGAGAGGGAGAGAGAGAGAACGCGATACAGACTGAGATATTCATTGATCTAGAAGGGGTAAGGGAGTGGTAGGGAGAGAGAGAGAGAGAGAAAGAAACGAAAAGCGCGAGAGAGAGAGAGGAACAAATTGAGAGAGCGTGTGTGTGCGTGAGAGGGAGAGAGAGAGAGAGAGACAGAGAAAGAGAGACAGAGACACAAACAGATAAACAGAGGCAGAGCCAGCGAGAGAGAGAGAGAAAGAGAGAGAGAGAGAGAGAAAGAGAGAGAGAGAGAGAAAGAGAGAGGGAGAGAGAGAAACAACAAAAAAAACGAGCGACAGAGCGACGTGCACTGCCGGCGAGGCGGTGGCGAGGCCTACGACAACGACGACGAGGACGAGGGGCGCCCTCGCGGGCCTGGCGGGCAGCCGGTCCAGTGCCAGCAGCAGTGAGTGGGGCGGCGCGTGGCCCCTCTTCGTCCTGCGGGGGGGGGGGGGGAGGAGGAGGAGGAGGAGGAGGAGGAGGAGGAGGAGGAGGAGGAGGAGGAGGAGGAGGAGGAGAAGCAGGAGGAGAAGCAGGAGGAGGAGGAGGAGGAAAAGCAGGAGGAGGAGGAGGAGAAGGGGAAGACGCTCCAGGAAGACGAGGGTGAGGAGGAGAAGGCAGGAGAAGGGAGGAGACGGGGCAGAGTGGAGGAGGGGGGGGGGAGGAAGGGGGGGAGGTTGCGCGTGCCACCACCTCCTCCTCCTCCTCCTCCCTCGCTGTCTCTCCTGCCCCCTGCCACCCCGTCTCATGCTTCCCCTTTCCTCCTCCAGATGTTGCCCCCTCCCCCTCTCATTCTCCCTTTCCCCCCTAGTCTATCCTTTCTTCTCTGTGTCGCACCCCCAGTCGCGCGACGGGCGTTTCGCCTGAAACGTCCTTACCAATTATGATCATGAACCTGGATCACGAAGCTCGACAGCACAGGTGATATTCGAAATGGGGCGCCTGAGCGCCGCGGCGCACATTCGTTGTAGATGATTACAGCAGGTACAAGGGTGGAGCACAGGACGGTGCGCGCCAGTTCGTGGCTCAAGAATCTTTCGGCATGGAACCCTTGCTTCAGAGTACCCGTGATGCAAACGACTCGCTGCTCTGGTGGCAGAACTCTCCGGGCCTGACACGCCGACTCGACTTCCTGACAGAATTTGGGGCGTTTCCAGAGTTCCTAAATCTGTGATTTGAAGGCCTGGAGTTCGACCCCTCAGCTCCCAGAAAAGAACCCAGGAAGCTTTTGAGGGCCCCAAATCTTTGAAGACCGAACGGAAATTAGTGATTGCTGCGTTTCCGCAGTTCCCCTTCTAAGCGATTCCGAGGCTTGCGCAGGGCTTCCAAGAGGGCCCCCGGATGTAAGAAACGACAGAAATGATATTCCATATTTAGTCCACCAAGCCTAGCTAGAATTGGAACACGCGCGATGCTTCTAGCATATATTCGTTACCTATACGACCGCCCTGCGGGCGATAAGGAAGTTGGGGGGGATTGAGATCAAATGCCCACCCTGACTGACCTCCAGCGTGTCAGGATAAGATGGATTGGATACGATAAGATAGCATGGGACAATATGGATTGGATAAGATAAGATGGATTGGATTGGACAAGATGGATTGGAGAAGATAAGCTGGATTGGGTAAGAAAGCCCGCCGCAGGCGCCGACACTAATGAATTGATGGATTGGGTTCGGTGGATTGGATTGGATGGGATAAGATGGATTGGATATGATAAGATGGGTTTGATTGGAAGAAATGGATTTGATAATATAAGATGGATTGGATTGGCCCGCCGCAGGCGCAGAAACAAATGAATTGATGGATTGGGTTGGGTGGGTTGGATTGGGTGGGATCAGATAGGGCGGGACAAGATGGGTTGAATAAGATAAGATGGATTGGTTCGGACAAGATGGATCGGAAAAGATAAACTGGATTGGATAAGAAAGCCCGCCGCAGGCGCCGAAACGAATGAATTATGAAATTAGCGACATGCGTCAGCGCCTGGACGCCCAGGACACCCGTGACACCCGGGACACCGCCCGGCCGAATTGGGACACCTCCCGGCCACCGGCGGACGGGAAACGGACTTTCGCTCCTACTTCGGCATAGCTACAGGAGGATCACGCGCAGCTTCGCCTCGCCCGCACGCGCGACACGAGCACGAAACCGAAACCGATTTCCCGGTGGGGGGTCTCCGTTTCTTTGCGATCTCCCCCCCCCACCTCCGATGTACATACACACGCAGCCATGTTTTTATATATGTGTGTACCTTTACTCACACGTACACCGCATATATGTATGCATGTATGCATTTGCAGTTTTTTTTTAATATTGATCAACAGCAAGACCACATGTACGCGTGTGTAAACAAGTATGTACACGTGACTACAGTTGTATGTGAATGCATACAAACATACACACGCGTATACACATACATACATACATACATACATACATACATACATACATACATACATACACACACGTACATACATACATACATACATACATACATACATACATACATACATACATACATACATACATACATACATACATACACACATACACACATACATACACACATACATACATACATACATACATACATACATACATACATACATACATACATGCATACATACATACACACATACGCACACAGATGCGTACAACCATAAACACGATTCAGAGGTTCGTAAAACGTGCTCCTGGTGTGCTTTACATATTTCGTAGATTTATACGCTTCAAGACTGTACATGCGTATGCATATTCAAACCGTATATAACAAAGGAACAAGTCCATGAAACCCCAGGACGCATCATGAGGCTCCAGGGTGCTGCAGGAGGCACCGGGAGATCCAAGGGTACCCCTCGAGACCACAGGAGGCTCCAGGATGCACCAGGAGACTCTAGGATGTCTTTGGAAATGCCCAGGAGCCCCACAGGGACCCAGGAGACCCCAGGAGAACCCAGGAGGTTCCAGGAGGCCCCAGGAGGCCCCAGGAGGCCCCAGGAGGTCCGAGGAGACCCCAGAAGGGCCCCACGAGGTCCCGGGAGGCCCCAGGCTCCCCCAGGAGACCCCAGGAGGCCCCAGGGAGGCCCCCAAAGGCCCCAGGATATCCCAGGAGGCGGCCCCAGGAGACCCCAGGAGACGGCTGTGTCTGGCATGTGGTTTTGATCGCTGGCATTGGAGGGGGGGCTGTAGGAGTCGGAAGCCAGAGGAGGGGGAGGGGGAGGGGGGACATTTTCATTTCCACCCGCCTCACGATCGGTCTTGTCCCTTCTTACCCCGGAACTCCGCCGGGGCGGCGCGGCGCGGCGCCCGCGCGTCGCGCGCCGCGCCTGCACTTTCTCCGAGCCCTGCAGCCCGAGTGAGCCGCACCCGGCGCCCAAGGCGGCACCCGCGCCTCGCTGCACACACCAGACTCGCCGACCTGAGGCGGACCGCCGAACACACCGCCTGGCAGCGACAGGGGTCGCCGGGGAGGCAGGAGAAGGGGGAGGAGGAGCAGGAGACGCGACAGTGGCGGTGGCCGACGTGTCCAAGCCTGCGAGGAGTTCGACCTCTGAGCCGGACGGGGGAGCAGCAACAGCAGCAGGGAGGGGAGACGAGACCGACGGAGAGGGCAGGACAACAAAACACGACAAGCGTCAGTGGGGCATCCATTTGAGCGGAACCCCGACTCGGGCGAGGTGGCCCGAAGGCGCTTCACGGTGCACCAGCATTTGAAGCTGAAACCAAAGCCGAATTGCACAGAAAGTTGGAAAGCACAAGACAATGCCCACCCTGCAGGCTTGTTCGACAGCGCATCGTTGAGCGGTGCTGCAGCCTCCCTCGAGCACTCGCCAACCCCAAAGTATCAGCCAGACAAGTATAGGGTTTGCACCCTCATGCCTTGCTGGACTCTGGGCGCGTTTCGGCACTGCCACTGCCGCCGCCGCCTCCGTGTCAGGCCATCGATCCGGGTGACGGCGATAGCGACAGTTGCGGCGACCGACGCGTCCAGGCTTGGCGGCGTCCAGAATCAGACTGCGAAGAGCTGGGAGGAGGAGGAGGAGCAGCAGGAGCAGGAGCAGCAGCAGGAGCAGGAGCAGGAGCAGGAGCAGGTGGTGGAGGAGGAGGAGGAGGAGGAGCAGGAGGAGCAGGAGGAGGAGGAGGAGGAGGAGGAGGAGGAGGAGGAGGAGGAGGAGGAGGAGGAGGGGGGCCGATCGGCACGTGGCTCCAGAGGAGCTTCGCTCGGTGACGGGCCCTGATAGCCCCTTCCGCCTCTTTGTGGTGCCCTGCCCGACGCCCCTCTCGTGCCTGCCCCCCCCCCCCTTTTGTATCCTGGATGTTTCACGGGGCAGGACCCTGTCAACGTAGCAGCTAGCCAGGAGGAGGGCGAAGGCAGGAGGAGGAAGAGGAAGACGGGCACGTAGGAGCACAGGGGCGGAGCTGGAAGAGGGGCCAGGCGAGGGAATTGTCTGGCATCAAGAAATGAGCGACAGCAGCAGACGGATGAGGTCCTCCCGCCCCAGGGGGGTGCATTCGCCGAGCCTCCCCCGAAGAGGGGACGGGCGGTCCACAAAGACGCCCCTGCAGTGCTGGAGCACTGGTCGGCGCCGAAAACCACCCGCGCCGTCCTCTTTGCCAGCTCCTCGCCCGACTCTCTCATTCACCAGTATCGAGGACGCACAAGGATAGACGCCCGACTTGTTGGCGTTTTGTTTATACCATGCTTCGCCTCTGGAGGTCTCTGGGGACCTGCAGGGGCGCGGGGGGGCTGCATTCGTGGCGCGATGATGTGATGAATGTGGCGGCCACGTCTGTTGTCCAACGTCACCTTCTTCAGTGTTGCACCGCCTGTTACCGATGCTATCGATGTGGCCGCCATGTCCACCGCCTTCAAAATTCGTCTCGTCATCTTCCTCGGCCTTGGCATCCTCATGCTCCTCCTCCCCCTCCTCCTACTCCGCATCCTCGTCCTCCGCCTCATCCCCCGGGCTCGTCTAATCCTGCGATTGCCTTTCCTCCCACCCCCAGGGTAGTATTCGTGGGCGGAGCATATAAAGCGTTTTCCCCCCCGCGAAGATAATACAGTACCCAGCGCCGCAACCATACCCTGACTTCTCTGCGTCTGTCCCCCCCCCCCTGGGGGTGGTGCAAAACCAGACTGCCTCCTCGATCCGCCTCCTCCTTCTCCAGACATCTGGCGCTGCTTGACTCGTAGGCCCTGGATCTCTCGACCACTTCCCCAGGCCCTGCTTCTCGTCCCGAGCTGTTCTTGGACGGCCTCGGGGCCTGGTGGGGGACCTTCGCCCCCAGATTCTGGCGAAGCGCCTCCGTCTTCATTCGTGCAATGC